TCGTATTTGTTGGCCGCCACAGCTAAAAGTTGTCGAAAATTGGTGCCGCAACGAATCGGTTAAGATCGTGTTTGCTGACATGGAGATTGAAAATAATTTTAAGAGAAGTTAATTATTACGACGAAATTGAGTACAATGACGATATTTTACGGCGTTTTACGCGATATCGTTTATCAAAAAATGGGCCACAGCAACCACTCACTACCTTTTAAATAACATTTTTTTACATCTGTAGGACCTTTCTGTCCAGAGAAATATGCATCTTTTGGTATCTACAAGAATTAAAAAAAAGTTTAAATGGCGGCCATTCTAACAGGAGGGGTAGACCCCCAATGATGTCTCCGACTCCTTTTAAGTTACAAAGTGATAATTAAAAAAAAACGATACAGATTTGGTCAAGAATCAGTAATATTATAACATTATTAAATACTCATTGATGAAATACAGTAACAGAGGTCTTCTAATTTCCCCAGAAATAGCCGTCCTATTCACTTTAAGGTTTTTTGCTGCAGCATCATTTCAGTTATGTACATATTATATATTTATTTAAGTAGGTATAATTTATTTCATTATTTAAATTAAGATAATGTATTAAATTTCAAATGTTAAATCTACGATTTGTAAGATAAAATAAACGTCATGACTAGGTACATATCATAATAGCAGCTATTGGAAATTCAGATTACTGATGTTATAATGTTTAAAAAAAAGATATTTCTAGTACTATAATGAGGGAGAGGCATCTATGACTTTCTGCCACCAGGGCGGCGCCACTTAAAATTGAGGTATAATATATGACAGATATCATAGCGGGGAAGTGAATTTGTTCGGAAAATGTAAAGGTTAATGTTTCTTTCTGTAGTGGTAGCTATATTTTATAAAAATAAGATTAAAAATAAATATAAACCAAACCACAGATATTCATAAAAGTAGAAAAAATTTTAAAAAGATAAAAATGTGCAAAAAATTAAAGAGCAAACCACTGCGGCATTGTTTTGTGTATTAATATAATACGTTTGAAACTGATAAACTTTTATTAAAAACTAACTTCTCGATTAAATGAAATTGTGTAACAAGAAAACTTTACCTCAGTGTCAACTAGCGACATCTGGTGAGCAGAAAATTATTAGCCCTCATTAATTACCTACCTGGCTAGAGATGTATATGGACTAGTGTTGTATTCTACAGCTTACGTGCCATCGGTCTCCTTATTTTCCACCATAGCCTTGTATTTTTTCATAACACCGGGAAATAATTTTTTCTCAATCGGAGTAAATACATGCGTCTTGCTTTCGATTTATGTATAAATTAACTTCTTCTTGATAACTGGCTTTACGGCTCTGGGATCTAGCCCTTCTGAGCCTGAAGTTACAATATTATATTATAATAATTATTCTTCATAATATACTTCTTCACAATATGTTGATGCGTCACATTATGCAGCCCTTGGGAGATTTTGACGGTAACTTGAGCCAGCAGACAGCTGACGGTTGGCGATGGTATCTCAAGGCGCCTAAGCAGACAGGCACCTTATTTTGAGAATCACATCACTATCAGAGCACTTGTTTCCCAGTTTACAATAATAGTTCACATGCGCAGATACTTAATACACAAAAACGCACCACTTTTACATATCAAAGTCCATTTCAAACCATTATTTATACAATAAAACAGGAGCAACAAACCGCCGCCGGTCAAGTTCCCGCCTAAACTCCTGTATAAATTAAATTTCCCGCGAGATCAAAGTTATGTAATCAAGATATTTTCCAATGTCAAAAATGATACGTCAGTTTTATATTTCACACTGGCGCTGTCATCACTTTATTGCATTAGGTTATTTGTAGGTATATATTGAATTAAGTAGTAAACATTTAGTTCGTATTTAGAAATACATACATAATAGTTTTAACAATTTACGGTTTTCGAAAGTATAAAACAACTTTATAACGTGGTACAGCTCTATTTATGTAAGTTTTATGAAAATAAAAGTATTAAACAAATTACACGATATAAGTAGCAAAAACGAAACGTGATGAATGATATTCTAAACTTCGGTCTATGTTACGTAATCATTCACGAGATCAAGCCCTCAAGTCACAGAACAGTATTCCTAAGTACAGTGTCTTGAGGTACCATTTTTATTTGTGTATTAATTAGCAACGATCTTGATATGCTGATATCGTAATGAGGGCGTATCAAATGATTACGCACTTGAGTTCGTCGTTGAGTAACGTTTATTAATACGGGCCTTAGAAGTAGACTTAGTAGCGTGTTAGCAAACTGCACATGTCCTAGAAGTAAGTTTTACTTCTTCTTCATGCAGATTTCTTCAAGATGCTTACTTTACTTCACCGCAAAGCATGATTATGCACTTGAGTTCGTCGTTGAGTAATGTTTATTAATACGCTACCAGCGTTGTTACCTCGACGTCAGGTTTTAGGGCTAAATTTAAATAATTAAACTAAAAAAAAGTAAGAAACAAAAACTAAAAAAAATGGTAATTGTAATTATTTTATAAATAATTCTAATAAAAAAAAAATCTAATAAAAAGAATCATCAAAATCTGTCCATAATTTGTCAGGATATCGCATAACATACATACGAAAAAATAAATAATATTTTCTTATCTGGGGGCACAGTAGTGCCCCCGCCAAGTCGAGCAAAAAAGCGGTTTCTCGAAGCCGTTCAGGCCATTTTCGAAACCCTATAACTTCGTTGTGAATAAAACTAGAAGCCTGGAATTTTCAGTAACCAAGTAGGTATTGTATAAACTCAATATATTTCAAAATTCATTAAATTTGAACTGGTAGCTTGAGAATTATACTAACTAACTAGTCGTAGTTTCTTAATTTTATCACTCACTGACTGACCGATCATCAAAGCTCTAAGGCACTTCTAGCAATCATAGAAGCTTCAAATTTGGAATACAATTATTGTTTAGTATATAAATCAAGAAAAAATAAAATATTTTGCAATTTCAGTCCAGTTTTCGAGGTACACCAACTGTAGGTAACTAGATATAACTATCTAAAAAAAGAAATGAGATGCTATCAAAAACATAACTTGTAAAAAAAAAACAAGTCTCGCAACTCAGTTCTTCTACCGTAAAAAGTTGTGAGATCCATATAATACCATGTCGGTTAATTTATTCAGTCCCTTTAAAGGTCCTTCTGTCTTAAGTTATTAGGTAATTAGCTAACCAAACAAAATCTTATAGTGACCATATCAATATTAAAAAATCTTTTATGTTTTAAATAAATAAATTAACATTTTTTTGAACGTTGCTATTTACCGATTCGTTGCGGCACCAATTTTCGACAACTTTTAGCTGTGGCGGCAAACAAATATTTCATGACACGCCGGGCGTGTCGAGCGCCACAGACAATGACACGCCTATTGTGCCATCCGCCATGTGTAAAAGTAATATTCTTTTTTATGCTTTTTTTACTTGTTTAGACCTAATTAAGTTTATTTGACATCAAACATAAGTTACAAATGGAAGGATACTTGTTTTTAGTGGGTAACTACGTGTTTTTTACGCGTTTTCTTTGAAATTGAGAGAAAGTGACTTTTTTTATGAAGAGATTACAAACCTTTTGTACTATTTTTTGTTGTTATAAAAAAATCATTTATATAAATAGGTACAGCCAATTCACCCTGGAAACCTTCGTTTTTATTAAATTAAATTTTCACCTAATAATGACATTTGTAAATATCAAACAATGAAGAACCTTAATTTAAAAAAAAAAAGGTATATCATTCATAGATATTTACAAATGTTAAATATTATTTAATGTTATACAAATGTAAAAGTAAAGTCGATCTGAAAACGTCTAATTAGTAAGAATAGCAAAACAAGTGTTTTCAAAAGGAAAATAACGCCGGCGCTATACGGCGGCGGATTGACAAAAGACTATTTATTAGCGAACTTCTTTTATGCATGAACGGTTTTGAACTGTTTCAAGCAAAAATACACCTTATACCATATTACAAGAGCACATGGTACTTCGTAGGTCTATTCGGTCATATGATAGTAATAAGACGGCAGTTCAACCATTTTAAGCAAAATTAAACAATAAGACAAACGCATTGTTTTTTTTAACAGGAGACTTGTTTTCCAGAAATTTATTTACAACTTGAGTTTGTGAGCGATCGCAATTAGTGCTATTATTTGTTACTTATTACACAATTTTTCCATAACATGATTTAAAACCCACAAAGTAAAAATAGTACCATGTACAAGTTAAAAAAAGGTTGTCAACCCCTAAAAATTTCAAATTTTCAAAATATCCAGAAACGAAGCTGCATGCATGAACTACTCGCAAAATAATGACTATTTTGTTCTGGATAAATTTTCCAAAAAAAGCAATTTGGGCGAGTTATAACGATTTTTAGAAAGACACGACTCGCGTGTCATACGCCACACACAAAAGTAATCGATGGCACGGCTGGCGTGTCACCCGCATTGAACCGGTTAAAGCTCAATTAGACAAAATGGCACAAAAGCGATTTAAGGATGTCTTAAGCAACAACCGGTAACACAGACAAGCTCGGTCCGGAATATCAAAATGAAAAATTCTGACAATAAAATTACGGACAGCGCAATCGTGATTAAAAATTATTGGTCTGCTCTATCGAATCATAAAAAATTTAAATTACGGACGTTAGTTTATCGTGTAGTACACAACCACCATAATACTTCGAGTGCATTGCATTTTTATTATATTCTTTCTTGGCAAGAATAGCTTAAAAATCACTAAATGGCGACCCAGTGTCGATGGTTTCTTCACTACTATGCATCACCTAGGACAGCTATTTCTGACGTTATTAAAAAACAGTGGAAATGATAATAATTAAAAATAAGGAAACTTAGTAATGCTAACTTTAAATATTGTGTTCACATAATGTGGACTAGCTCGCGCGATAGTCTGGATAGGTAAGCGTGCTTACATTATTTATCTCGTATATCTGGCCTCGTTGAAACGTGCGTTGTTTTCCAGGTGAACATAATCTCGATAGAGCTGCTGGTGGTCGCGCACGAGTGCTTCTCGAGCGCGTGCGACACGGAGGGCGTGGCGACGGTGCTGCGCTCGGCGCAAGCGCTCGCCGCGCGCCTGCTGGCCGCGCGCTCCTGGCGCCTCATGGTGCGCCTGCTCACCGGCTTGGCGCGCTACACCGAGTGCGCGTACGTGTTCCAGGTACGAGCTCCTGCGCCTCATGGTGCGCCTGCTCACCGGCCTGGCGCGCTACACCGAGTGCGCGTACGTGTTCCAGGTACGAGCTCCTGCGCCTCATGGTGCGCCTGCTCACCGGCTTGGCGCGCTACACCGAGTGCGCGTACGTGTTCCAGGTACGAGCTCCTGCGCCTCATGGTGCGCCTGCTCACCGGCCTGGCGCGCTACACCGAGTGCGCGTACGTGTTCCAGGTACGAGCTCCTGCGCCTCATGGTGCGCCTGCTCACCGGCCTGGCGCGCTACACCGAGTGCGCGTACGTGTTCCAGGTACGAGCTCCTGCGCCTCATGGTGCGCCTGCTCACCGGCTTGGCGCGCTACACCGAGTGCGCGTACGTGTTCCAGGTACGAGCTCCTGCGCCTCATGGTGCGCCTGCTCACCGGCTTGGCGCGCTACACCGAGTGCGCGTACGTGTTCCAGGTACGAGCTCCTGCGCCTCATGGTGCGCCTGCTCACCGGCTTGGCGCGCTACACCGAGTGCGCGTACGTGTTCCAGGTACGAGCTCCTGCGCCTCATGGTGCGCCTGCTCACCGGCCTGGCGCGCTACACCGAGTGCGCGTACGTGTTCCAGGTACGAGCTCCTGCGCCTCATGGTGCGCCTGCTCACCGGCCTGGTGAGCAGGCGCACCATGAGGCAACTTTAACTTTTTAATGATTTTTGTCGGCTGTTACCGTAGTTGGCATACTCGACGATGGATTTCAAGTAGTTGTCTGTATTGTAAATGGCTACACAATATATACCTAGTCAGGTCATAAGTATTGTCACACAGTAAAAACTTTTCTTTTAGAATGCTGGCGACAAAAAAGTTTATTGAATTCGAATTTCGAATTGTTCATGAAAATAAAACTGTATACTTTTTAGAATTTTACTCATTTTTAAATATGGAGTGGACGCTTAAAGAAGACCGTGTTGCGGTTATTGCGTTGCATCGTTGCGGTTACGCGCCAATTCAAATTTTTAACATACTGAAAAATTTGAATATAACCAAAAGATTCGTTTATCGTACCATCAAACGATACAATGAAGACTCTAGTGTAGATGACAGATCAAGAAGTGGTCGCCCACGGTTTGTTAGGACTCCAGCAGTGATAAAAGCTGTGAAGGCGCGAATTCAAAGAAATCCCAAACGTAAGCAGAAACTGTTGGCCCTTCAGATGGGGTTAAGCAGAACCACGGTGAAAAGGGTGTTAAATGAAGACTTAGGGCTTCGGGCATTTTTTTTTTATAGGTTCGGGTGACAAAGGAGCACACAGTCCACCTGATGGTAAGTGGTTACTGTGACCCTTAGACATCTACATCTATCCTCAATAAAGACTCAAGATGCAGATGCGTTGTCACCCGTGAGGACTAAGATGGAATGCCTCTTTGCCAGTAAAAAGGGTCTCCGGTTCTCTACACTCACCATACGAAACACAGCAGCGTTAAGCTGCTCTTTTACGCTGGTTTTCTGTGAGAGCGTGGTCCTTCCCCGGTCGAGCCGACCCATTCGTGCTACAGCATGGCTCTACCACGTAGAAAAAATATATCATATCGAAGAAAAACAGGACATCGTTTGAATGCTCGTCTAATGGACCTGAGACTGAAGAGATGCCGCGCTTTGTTGAAGCGGTACGCGGGAAAAAAATATCAGGAAGTTCTTTTTTCGGATGAAAAACTTTTTACCGTAGAAGAGAGCTACAACAAACAAAATGATGTGTACGCACACAGTAGTGAAGAAGGGAGCAACCGTATTCCGCGTGTCCAACGAGGTCATTTTCCATCCTATATATATAAATGGTTACATAATGAATAAATTTGTTTCAATTATTTTATATTAAACATGTAACAGAATTTATGACCTGACTAGGTATATATATGTGTAAAAATTTAATAATTACACAAAATAACATTCATTTAAAAAACTTTTAGGCGCTACGAGACCATCATCAGTTCGAGTTTCTTCTCGGGCAGTTTGACTACATGCTCGGTCAACAACCGGACAAAATCGCAGAATTTAAACACGGCTTACTTGATTTTCTAAAAACTCACTGCCCGGGCGACACTGAAACCTATATAATGGTAGCTCTACACTTCAACATGTACGCAGAGGCAGCAAGTGTCAAGAAAAAGCAAGCTTTAAATCTAATAGATGATTTGGAAAAGATAGCCATGGATGAAGCTAGGGCGAGTTCAAAGAAAGCTGTGCAACCAGTTTGGGTTATGATCCACGATAATGTCTCCACGCGGACACTACTTGATACGGCGTTAAATCATTGCACTGATGCAGCCGAGTTGTATTTACAAGGCGGATGTACGGGTTTTGCGGGAGAAATGGCCACCCTAGCGCAGCAAATAGCATTGCAAATATCGTTGCTGAATGCGTCACCGACCAGATTAATTCTTAACAGGAGCACTGAACAGATGTACAATCTTGTCAGTGAGTATCTGAGGTAAGTAAAATACATTTAAAATACTTCTTAGTACATAAAACCGTTTGAATTGTAGCTACCATTTAAAATTTTGCCGCATTGATCTAGTATTTTATTGCAGTGTTGTGACGGTGTAAGAATATCCACTACCCGATATCATCTCGTGGGTGTCGTAAAAGGCAACAGAGGGAAACAAATTAGGAGATGGGCACCAGCGTCTTCTTAATAACGAATAAAAATATAAGACTGCGCATGCCAACCGTGCGGGTGGCAACTTTTTTTATATAGGATAGGGTGACAAACGAGCACACAGTCCACCTGATGGTAAGTGGCCACTGCGACCCATAGACATCTACATCTATCCTCAATAAAGACTTAAGATGCAGATGTGTTGTCACCCGTGAGGACTAAGATGGAATGCCTCTGCCAGTAAAAAGGGTATCCGGTTCTCTACACTCACCATACGAAACACAGCAGCGTTAAGCTGTTATTTTACGCTGGTTTTCTGTGAGAGCGTGGTCCTTCCCCGGTCGAGCCGACCTATTCGTGCTACAACTATACCACTAATATAGCTGCAGCATGGCTCTACCACGTATAGACATGCTGCAGCTATGACAAATATCCGGCATATACAGCAATTAATGGGGTGGCCTATGTTCAGTAGTGGACTTTTTATTTCTGCTTAACAGACATTATATAAAATGATTAAAAGATTTTACTTACCCGTATGGAAAAACATTATAAAACAATTGAGTGTGTTTTAAACGTGGTCAATACAAATAAATGTAATACATAAGTTAGTATTCATTTGTTTAGTTTCATGGAAGGCTTGGTGCTATTGGCGGGGCGTGGGGGAGAGGCGTGGCGTGAGTTGGCTTATCGACGCGCTATGACCAACGACCAGGCCTTCTTGAGGGATATGGCCACATACAGACCCGACGTTGCGTACGATTTTATAAACAGGTATGACACTGCAAAATTGATTTAATGCATTTGATGTGCGTGGAGCAAAATCATGTGGCGGAAAATCGCCACATTCTGATTTCCGCATCTGCTTATAAAATAAGCCAACACTTTATCATCATAGTAAACAAGCGGAATTCGAGTGGAGTACACGTTTCGTCCTATTCCTTTACTCATCTCGCGAATACATAAGCTCATGTCAGCGCGTCGTCTCTAAACGTTATTTAAATATTAGAGACTCATTATTTCGCTTTGTTAAAATCAAAAGTTGTTTTGTTTTAAAACAAAACATTAACTGATTTTAGCCTGATCTAGAATTTTAAACCCGGGACCTCATGATCAGCAGACGCACTCACGACCGTTAGACCAGAATATCATATAAATATTTAATAAACTGCCACTTTCTTCCAATTCGGTATATCATACTTAAAATTTTTGTCTTTCTTGTATTCTATTTCCTTTCACGTTATCATTAACATTTTCGCTTCAGTCGTTTCTTAAGTACTACCAAATAAAAAACCTACTGGAGAGGACAGCTGCTTTCCCTTGTCCTACTAGCAAGGCACGCATTCTTCATTACAACCCTCCACAAGTCCGATGTGAGCATAAACCTCTTCTATAGAATACCACAAAACATGATCGTGAGCTGCCTTTTTTTAAACGGGGAAATGCCTACGGTTACCCGCCTCGCGGGGCAAGAATTGGTTATGTCGGACTCTCACCGACTAAAACCCCATGGTGTTCCATCTTCGCCGCATATTGCCAGGGTCACGGTAACGCTTTCACACACGTCCGCGGCCCCGCCACCGCCGGCGCCCCATGGCGTTCCCTCCTCGGGGAAGAATTCTCATCCTCCCTTTTCTTCTCAGGTAAGGCGCGCCAGGAACACAATGTGCGCCTTCTTCCGCGACCAAACGAGCACTCAGAATGCTCAGAGAGTTTGGAGAGGGCTATGCGCGGGGTTTCTCTGCGTGATAGACTTAAAAACAAGAAAATCCGCAGTAGAACCAGAGTGACCGACATAGCCTACACACACATACATAGCATAGCATTAGTAAGCTGAAGTGGCAATGGGCCGGCCATATAGCTCGAAGAACCGACAACCTATGGGGAGAAAGGTTCTCGAGTGGCTCAGAACCGTGCTTTGTGGTATTTTTAGGGGAGGCCAATGTTCAGCAGTAGACTTGTGAGGGGCTGTAATGATAATGATGCACTAGCCTTTTCGTTTTTCGTTTCGGCGACGGAGGGTAAGGGAGTGCGGTGCCTCGTAATACCGACACTCCTCTCCCCCCGCGGCCTCACCACCACTGAATCAACGGTGCGGCCCCGCCAGAGCCGCGGAGGATAGGGCGAGTGGCGCATGGCCATACCAACACTCTCCTTCCCGCGCGACTCCGGCTCGACTGCAGCGGGAGAGGACACCCCTCTCGCCGTAGCCCATCAACACACATCCGAAGTGGGCTCGCCAAGCCCACTCGGGGTGGCCACCTAGTGCCGGCCCTACACCACGGGCTAGCCAAGTGTGTTTCTCTTTGTTCACCGCGGGTGACCAAGCCACGGCTACTAAACCCCCCCCCCTCAACGGGTTCTAGCTTTGTCGTGGCGGGGGGGGGTGGGTGGGGGGGTGTTAGTAGCCGGTTAGTGGGTTCGTGAGCCGGCTGCATCCAACAACTTCCTACGTTGTCGGTTCTTCGAGCTATATGACCGGCCCGTTGCTACTTCAGCTTACTGATCCGTTGAACTACGAGTATGTAGGTTACTCTGGCTCTACTACAAATATCTACATTACGAATTTTATCACGCAGAGAAACTTCGATTATAGTTTGCTGAGCGACCTTAAGCTATGTGGATATTTTTTTATCATCGCTGTTATTTTTAAATAAATCGCTGTGATATTATATTGAATTTACTGATGAATTATTATATTTTTGCATTTTGTTAAAACTATATTTATTCACTTGTATTTATTATTTACCGTACCTCTTAAAGGTCTTAGCGTAGCTAAAAGTAGAAGAGAAATAGATGAATGTTGGAGACTCATTTTATTATTAATTTTATAGAGCTTTAATAGTATACTTTTATTGCCAGGTATAAGACGGAGAAAAAGAAAACATCTGTTTCACAAGCTGCTATGACGGAGCTCCGCAACCTAATTAGATGATATAGATATATTATAAGTATATTTAATATTGTTGATTGACTGTAAGATCTCAGTGTAATGCTCATCTCATATTTTAAATTGTTTATATTCCAAAGCATGTACATAATTGTAACTAAAGTCCTATATATACCAAATGTCTTAGTAAGGAAATATGTATCGAGAAGTTTTTTTTTTTTAATTGGATATATTTTCTATTAGATATCGCTGTTATTTTTAAGTAAGTCGCTGTGATATTATCTTGAATTGACTGATGAATTATTATGCGTATTTTTGTATCTTGTTTAAACTGCAATAAAACGATATTTATACACCTGTATTTTTTTATTTGAAACGCGTGTACATATTAAGTGGCAAAATCCTTTTCTAAAGATTGCGCTAGGTCAATCAATTTTCCATACTAACTGTAGAAGTGTAATTTACTCCACCGTTTGTAAATGCAGTCCAAAAATTTGCATATATCGACTTGTCTCGTCTTTATATCTTGTATTTTTAGTACTAGAAAACCGTACGGTGTTTGATTGACAAGCAATTTCTATTGCCGGCAGGGATGAAACCTGGGTTGCTCGCATACGATGAAATTTAGATCTGCCACGGCAAATTTAATCTAATAATTTGGTAAAATTCCTAATTCTGTGTCAGTAAAGTATAAAATAAACGTCTGATGTTCGGGGGTTTTATTGTAACTTTTTATTTTTATCATTTACCTACATTAAACCATACAATAAGTTCTATTCAACCACTTTTATTTAATTTGCAACACTAAATCTTGCACTATCAGCCTGGTTCAGCGCGAACGAAAACCAAAACCAAATCTTTTACTCTTTATGAACAGCATAATAAAGATGTAACTGAGTGTAACAAGCATTGCCCATTAGAGTAGTTGTTTACATCACTCCATTAATACTAAAGTCTATGGTCAAGTCGTATTATGCCTGTGAGAATAATCGATTACGTTTCGACTCGATTGTGTTAAAGTGACGTCAAATATTGTCTGTGGATTAAAAGTTAGCTCTTAACAGTCGGGATCATTCAGAGACGAGCCGCCGGAGTGACAAGAAAGTTTGTGATATATTATGTTATTTTGTTATACTTTAGCTTTGATTTAGTTTACTAGAAATAAATATTGTTATTGTATTGATTAATTCCTTTTATTTAGAATTCTATGATTCACTTTTGAGATACCCTTATATGAGTCACAGATGAGCCTGAGCGCTGAAGAAGGAAGCGGGAGTGTGTGTACGCGCGCACTAGCTTCTTACTGCTTTTTATCGAGTCTAAACCTTTCTCATACGATGCTAGGTGAAAAAGCAAGCATTAAAACCACGCTCGCCGACGAGTTCGAACCATCAACCAGCACGCTCTTAAATAAACTAACAAGGTAAATTACACGTTAAATACAAGATGGAGTGTATTACCAAGTTTGAAAAGCGCTTACCTTCTTTTAATTATTAAAAACCTCTAATATTAAATATACCAAAAAAATTTACTTTGCGTACATTTTTTTTTCTTTTTTATAGGAGAGGGGGGCAAACGAGCATGCGGCTCACCTGATGGTAAGTGACTACCGCCGCCCACGAACAACTGCAACACCAGGGAGGGGATTGCAGATGCGTTGCCGGCCTTTTAAAAAGGAGTACGCTCTTTTCTTGAAGGTCCCTAAGTCGTATCGGTCCGGAAAAATCGCTGATGGTAATCGATTCCACAAGGAAGTCGTGCGAGAAAGAAAACATCTTCTAAATAGCACAGTGGTGGATCGCCAATCATCCAGATGGTGTGGATGGTATCGGGAGTTCTGCCGCGATATGCGTTCGTGAAATTTGGCGGCTGGGATTAATCCGAACAATTCCTCAGAGCACTCCCCATGGTAGATGCGAAAGAAAATGCAAAGGGATGCAACATCTCTTCGCAGTGCGCTCTGCGCTGGATGCGGTCAAGTTGAAGGAGCTGGCACTGGGGAGCCCCTGCCCAGAGATAGGAACAGTATTCCATGTGAGGCCGAACCTGCGCCTTGTAAAGTTGCAGGCGGTGTGCCGGCTGCTGAGCACGCCAAGCTTTTTAGAGGCCAATTTATTTTATCTAGCCATCCGCTAGATAAAATAAAATGATGTGTCTTACCTAGTTTGAAGAGCACCTCCCGCTCTCCCTCAATTACGTGCACTATCCCCGTCACCACTAACCCCAGTACCACTAATCCCAACACCACTACACTAGGTAAGACACACCACTGACGACAATACACGTGTTTCGCCTCTACACGAGGCATCCTCAGGTGATATAGACTCTACGGTGGCTAACCGCTAAGCTTAACGGTTAGCCAAGTTAGCTCTTCAAACTAGGTAAGACACTTTTTTTTATTTTATCTAGCGGATGTACGCAATGTAATTTTTGTCAAATTTAATATAATGGACTTCCTCAAAGTAACGCCAGTTTCTATTAATTTAAAACCTCTAATAATTAGATATATGCATTATCAATACCACCACGAAACCTAAACTACTAGGAAATACCACTATGGATAATATGACATGTTTCGTCTCTAACCGATATGTGAGCGGCGAGTCAACTTTACTGTCTGCCGATTTCCAGAAACTCGCCGACGCAAGAGCAACCGCACCTCAAGTAGCAAACGATTAAGGCATGTCGCATAACATACGCAACCGTATGACGTATGTTTCAAAATAAATAAGAAAATTGCCGAGAAACAATTCTACCCTTTAACCACCTAATCAATCGAACCATCTATTGGAATTGATAAAGTGATGGATTTCTTACGCTGTAACCACATGGCAAATTGTACCACTAATATTTTATGTGTATCAATATACCTACCTATAGATAAAGAAACAAGTAAAAAACTATTTTACGGCTTGGTATGTTATGTTATGTTACGAGGGTGACACTGAAAGTTCTTAGAAAATCAAAAACTGAACAAACTAGTAAGTTATTAGTTTTATTATATCTTATCAAAATAGTGTCCATTTACATCGCTGCATCCGATGGAACCACTAAGAAAAGCACTTCGCTCACTCGTCCTTAGGGGTCTCTGACGGCATTTTGAAACACAGCCACTGCTTCCTAGGCGTCCATAAAACGTTTTTCTCGAAGTTTTTCTTTTATTTTCGGAAATAAATAAAAAGGTGTGAGGTCGGGGCTATAGGGCGGTTGACCCATTAATTCCAGGTCTAACGTCGCCAAGTCGTCGATTGTTTGCTTGGTGGTGTGCGACGAGGCGTTGTCGTGGTGTAGGAGAATCCTATTGGAAGTCGTTTCTGCCGAACTTTTTTCAATACCAGTGACAAACAATTGCATACCTTAAGCGAAAGCGCAAGGTATGTACTACTATCGCCTAAAAATTAAGATTCCAACGTTTTATCGAATAAAATCGTATCTAGCAATCATATTATACATATAAATGATATAAAAAGCAGATTGTTAGAAAGATAAATGATTATTGAACGTATTAATATATTTTTTTTAAATCGATTAATTGCTATTTTAAAATAAAAAGGGGGTTTTAGTGGCTTATGGTGTGGATTTATCTTGTCCCCAAGGCTTGTAAACACTACAACTTTTGAAAATATCAATTGTTTAACTCAATCTATTTTTTATTCCCTCATCTATCATGTGGGAACCCACTGAATGTAAATGGCAGTGTAATTTTGTTGTTTAGCTATAATTAATTTTTTTCGGCTCCAAAATGGCGAAATTTTCGTTGATTTGGTAGCCTTGTATGTAAATTATTTCTCCAAATAGGGAGCTACAGCCACAGAGTAGTTTAGTTCGGCTTCAGTCGCCGTCGTGAGTGGACATTGTTTCGGTTGTTTGCAGCGGCTCAAAAAGATCGCTGTACAAATACACAATATTCGAATAACCAAATGCCTTAAATACTTTATTATAATAATAATAAGAGATTTTTTTATTACAATATTTTAAAAGCACAGAATAAATAATAGTGGTACGTACTAAAAGTAAGTAGTATCAATTTTTTCATCATGGGTGTCATTTACATGGTTTTCGAGGGTGCTGAAGCCGATAGTGCTGTCGAAATGTAAATCCAAGATGGCGGCTGAATAAGGTACCAATTTTTTCATCATGGGTGTCGTTTTCATAGTTTTCGAGGGTGTTGAAGCCGATAGTGCTGTCGAAATGTAAATCCGAGATGGCGGCTGCAATAGATATCAATTTTTTCATCTTGGGTGTCATTTTCATGGTTTTCGAGGGTGTTGAAGCCGATAGTGCTGTCGAAATGTTAATCCAAGATGGCGGCTGAATTAGGTATCAATTTTTTCTAATGGGTGTCATTTTCATGGTTTTCGAGAGAGTTGAAGCCGATAGGGTTGTTGAAATGTAAATCCAAGATGGCGACTGCAATAGATATCTATTTTTTCATCATGGGTGTCATTCTCATGGTTTTCGCGGGTGTTGAAGCCGATAGTGCTGTTCGAAATGTAAATCCAAGATGGCGGCTGCAATAAGGATCATTTTTTTCATCATGGGTGTCATTTTCATGGTTTTCGAGAGAGTTGAAGCCGATAGGGTTGTCGAAATGTAAATCCAAGGTGGCGGCTGCAATGGGTATCAATTTTTTCATCATGGGTATCATTTTCATGGTCTTCGAGGGTGCTGATGCCGATAGTGCTGTCGAAATGTAAATCCAAGGTGGCGGCTGCAATGGGTATCAATTTTTTCATCATGCGTGTCATTTTCATGATTTTCGAGGGTGTTGAAGCCGATAGTGCTGTCGAAATGTATTTAAACTACTTCGAAAATTCCGTATAATCATGTTATACGTAATTTTTTTAATGCGCTTAAGGTATGCCCAATTGGATTTACTAATATTATTGTTAGTATAGCACTCGGCAGTAACTTTTTTTCGATCATCTAAAACAATTGTTGCATAGTGACCTGCCCTTCCGAAGAACGAGGCCACCATCTTTTATCCCACGATTCGGCCTCTCTTCACTTAAGTTGGCAACTCCTCGGAAGGAAACACCCAGACA